GAGTTCGAAACCAGCCTGAGCAAACAAGAGCAAGACCCCGTCTCCACTATAAGTAGAAAGAAATCAATTGGCCAACTAAAAATATATAGAAAAAATGAGCCAGGCATGGTGGCGCACGCCTGTAGTCCCAACTACTCGGGAGGCTGAGGCAGCAGGATCGCTTGAGCCCAGGAGTTTGAGGTTGCGTGAGCTAGGCTGACGCCACGGCTCACTCTAGCCTGGGCAACAAAACGAGACTCTGTCTCAAAAAACATAACAAAACAAAAAACAGTTGTTTTAGAATTTGTCTAGCAGGTCCTTACCGGAAGCCACACCCCCCCAAAATAAAAATAAAAAAAAAAGACATATTTAGTCACCTGGCAGCTATAGAGTACAATATACCTGTGACATCATTTATGGGGTCTGCCACAGATACCTTCACAGCGCTTTCTAAGGAAAACTGAATTGTATAAAATTCCTATTCAATACATAGCCACAGAAAATAGTTTCATATGCACAAAAAAAGATAGACCATGGGTAGCAATAAATCATTCATGATCGGTAGGCCTGAAGTGAAAGCACTACTTTTTTTTTTTTTTGAGACAGAGTCTCACTTTGTTGCCCAGGCTAGAGTGAGTGTTGTGGCATCAGCCTAGCTCACAGCAACCTCAAAACTCCTGGGCTCAAGCGATCCTCCTGCCTCAGCCTCCGGAGTAGGCTGGGACTATAGGCATGCGCACCATGCCGGCTATTTTTTTCTATGTATTAGTTGGCCAATTAATCTCTTTGTATTTTGAGTAGAAACGGGTCTCACTCTTGCTCAGGCTCTTTTTGAAGTGAAAGCTCTATAAAAAAAATGATTGTGTGAATCATGAGATTCTCTGGATCCCAGGAATTTGAAATGCAGAATAAGGAATGAGATAAAACACCCACAAAAGCTGAAGCTGAAAGGTTTCCCAAAATTAAAAAAAAGGTATGAGGGATGCATGAGCTCAAACAGTCTCGAAACAGATATCGTAAGTATGAACAAATGGGAAAGGAAAATAGAATAAAGACTTTTAAAAAAATGGAAACACTGTCAATAGCAGAGCTTTAGAACAATGGATTTTTTTTTTTTTTTTTTGAGACAGATCTCGCTTTGTTTGACGCAGGCTAGAGTGAGTGCCGTGGCGTCAGCCTAGCTCACAGCAACCTCCAACTCCTGGGCTCAAGCGATCCTCCTGCCTCAGCCTCCCGAGTAGCTGGGATACGGCATGCGCCACCATGCCCGGCTAATTTTTTGTATATCATTAGTTGGCCAATTAATTTCTTTCTATTTATAGTAGAGACGGGGTTCTCCGCTCGTGTGCTCAGGCTGGTTTCCGAACTCTGACCTCGGCATCCGCCCGCCTCGGCTCCCCAGAGAGCTAGGATTACAGCGTGACCACCCGCAGCCCGGCCTAGAACAATGATTTTTATCCAGACAGTACAATCCACTGACCATGCTGTGAAAATTTGAAGGGACATTCTTAGTTGTCACAATAATTGGTGTCACTACTGACATTTAATGGAAAACAGTGAGGGAGATAAGATATCCTGCAATGTAGCAGACTAAATATACCACCAGACTCACTACAAATACAAATTAGTACTTTGGTGCATAATAATGAGAACTTTGACGTAAAGTGATACCAAACAGCTCAGTAATTCAGAATATTGTTAGGAAAACAAAGTTCAAACAGAATAGGAACATTGGCATAAGATTTCAATGCTGTGTCAAATTACAAATGTAGTAGAAGAATTGGGTCTAATACCAGTTACTGCTTACTGCAAAACTGACAAATTTAGATGCAAATAAGAGAGGCTTTTTCAGGCCAAGCATGGTGGCTCATGCCTATAATCCTAGCACTCTGGAAGGCCAAGACGGGCGGATTGCTTAAGGTCAGGAGTTCGAAACCAGCCTGAGCAAGAGTGTGACCCGTCTCTACTGTAAATAGAAAGAAATTAATTGGCCAACTAATATATATAGAACAAATAACTTAGCCGGGCATGGTGGTGCATGCCTGTAGTCCCAGCTACTCGGGAGGCTGAGGCAGGAGGATTGCTTGAGCCCAGGAGACTGAGGTTGCTGTGAGCTAGGCTGACGCCACGGCACTCACTCTAGCCTGGGCAACAAAGGGAGACTT